GTGGCGTGGTAGTTAAGTGCGTTGGGCTTCCACATGGTTGACTGCGATTCTAGTCCTGGACCTTGTGGCTTGCTTTTTCACTTTTCCTCTCTTTCTCTCTCTCTCTCTCTCTCTCTCACTCTGTCTATCTCTGGTCAAATTGAAATAAATAAATAAAGTTAAATTAAGAAAAAAAAATGAAAAGGCACTTACACGTTCTCTTCACTCTGTGCACTTTGTTGTTGGTGTGACAAGGCATTTAAAGGTGTTCCTGACATTTTTTTCCCCTGAATTTGTAAGGTAGTGTTAGCTATATGTTTATCGGCTAGAAATCCTGAGTTATCAACTGTACATATCTCTGGTCTGAAAAGAGAACAGAACAATCTTGAAAAATTCTCCATGCTCCGTGTTTGGTAGAGGCTGCAGGAAGGGCACCCATCAGAGGAACAGTGGCTTAGGGAAGCTGGACCTGTTCACTCTGCGGTGGCATCTGTGTAAGCATCAGGTTGTCTTGCTTGGTCCAAAGTGACCTAGCGTTCTGCTGCCATTCTTAGCTGTGGAAAAGGGGGGTCAGGTGGCATGACAAGGGTTTGGATTTTTGTGTCCTTAGTGAAGTAGTTTTAAAATTTTGCTTTAAATAAACTGTAGAACTCTTCATTGTCAGCAAAGCCAAGAGTCACTGCATGGCATCAAGAACCTCTGTCCTTGGGAACCAGCAGTTAGCGTAATGGCTATGTCGCTGGATTCCCACGTAGTCAACCGCGGTTCGCGTCCCAGACCCGGTGGCTTAGAACTCATGCCGGGCGCGTGTGTGTGCGTGCCCAAGATCCCAAGAGGAGAATGGAGGAGAAGGGACTGCGGTGTGACCATCCCCCCTGGGGGGTGATTTCTCGCTTTCTGTCTCTATGTCTCTGTCTGTGGCGAGCGCACGCGCCCTATAGCAAAAAAAATAAATAAATAAAAATAAAGAACCTCTGTCCTTAAAACATGATTTGCAGAATTCTATTATTTTTTGTATGTTTGGAATGCTGAAATGTTTTTTAAGTTATGTATTACATTTCTTAAAAAAAAAAAAAGGAGAAGAAAGAAAGCTTTCTCCTAGATCCCTGCCCCCTGCTGTTTGCCTCATCCATCATCCTTCCTCTTTCCAGTCCTGTATCATTTTCTTAGGGAATCTTTACTGCTATCTCAACCAAGGTCCTCTTATTATGTGCTTTTGTAACAACCGTTTACTTTGTTTTATTTTTAAAGACAGGGTCTCAGGGACCAGCAGGCAGTCTGATGGTTAAAGCACTGGACTACCACATGGCTGACCTCAGTTCAAGTCCCGGACCTAGTAGCTTGCTTTCTTGCTTTCTCTCTCTCTCTCTCTCTCTCTCTCATGAGCACACATGCCCTATAGCAAATTAAAATAATAATAAATAAATAAAATTAAATAAATAATTCTTTAGAGACAGGGTCTCACTGTTAGATCTTCTTGCCTCAGCCTCCCAGCTTTGAAGATGTTTTGAAAATTTTTTCTGAAATGACATAATTTGCATTTTGCAATATTCATTTTTTTGTTATTTTTAGACTGTCTTGTCACAATCCTCCTATCTCAGCCTCCCAGTTGGAGCTACAGGTACACACCATCTTGCCCAGACCCTTTTTAGATAGGGTCTCAGTATGTCGCCCAGGCTGGGCTCAAGCTTGCCATCTTTCTGCTTCAGCCTCCCAAGTAGCTGGGATTATGGGTACACACCTTCACAGTCAGCCTTTAGTTAGACTGGGAGTTGAAACTCGGCCTCTCATGTGGTCCCAGCCTATGAAGCACAGTGTCTCAGCAGCACGTACTACAGCAGCTGGGCCTGTTTGCCTTTTTATTGTTTGCTCCGTATATACCTCTCTCACTCAGAAGAATTTAAACTCCATGAGGGCAGGGATGTGACTCATTCACTGCTCCTAACTTAGGGTTCAAACACAAGTTGAATGAATAAACTGTACTCAACACTATTTGTTACCAGACATGTGCACTGTTAGTGGACTCCTATCTCTTTCTTCCTGTGCCATATGCTCTCTAGGTGGGAGCCTTGTCTGCTCTGCTCTCCATTGTGTCCCACATCTGCACTATAGGAGGCCTTCCATGAAGACACATTAATTAAATTGTATCAGAGCCATGTGAAATTTATAAAGGAAAAAATCACACTGAAGTAATAGTGGTCATGTTACTATTGTAAAAATATGATTTTTTTCCTCTGTCTCCAAAAAATATATATTGCAAAAACGATAATATAAATAAAAACTCACAAACGAAAAGAAACAGCTCCACATATTATACATATCAAATAATAAAAAGTTAAAATAATATTTTAAAATAATAAAATCAGCCCAAAATAGAAGTGATACCTATAATTATTCTTGCCTAAAAGATCGGATGTTTTCACTTTTCCCCCTAGAGTGGCCAATGGTTGTATCATTTTTACATAGCTATAGACATGTTGTATTTTATTTTTGTTGTATTTTATTTATAATAAAATAAACATTATATCATGTTATATCATATGCATTTTCCCAGTAATCTACATTTGCCCACATAATTATTGTTAGCAACTACATGATAGAAAAATTTACGTACTTGATAGCTATAAGTCCCTGGAATAGAATTTAAAGTGTATGAGTATCCAAAGGGAAATACAGATTTCTAACTTCACTGATCACAAGATGGAAAAGAAGCAGGCAGTGATGGACAAGTATACAAGCTAGAGGTAGGATTAAGTAAACTATAATTATTTTTAAGAGAGAGTCAATGTTACGTCAATTCTGTAGGGA